TTGCAAAGCCACGCTAGTGTCTCTGTACAGCTCAGAGCTCCCACTAAAACTCCTTGGTATAAACTCTATGGTATAAACAGAGGCTTGGGCTATTAATATTGTTACTACACTCGTCCGTGCATTTGCCAATTCATTTGCTGTAAAAGAAGTGGTAGAAACCAGGACAGAGAATGGCTGAGTAGTAATAATAATACTTTGACAGCCTGGAATGAAAGGCAGAGAACTGCAAAGTGCTGTACACCTATTAGTAACTCCAGAAGTCTTCAGCAATATTAATGGCAGTACAGCATCCTCTAAAACAGGGGGTCTCAAACTCTTTTTGCTGGGACCCCTTTGAAAATATGTGATGATCCCCCCCAAAAAGTGATGACCCCACTCCCCATGCCATGCCACCCTTACTTCTGCATTGCTACTGGCGGCAGCGCTGCCTTCAGAGCTGGGTGCCCATTCGCTGCTCTCCGGCCTCCCAGCTCTAAAAGCAGTGCAGAAGTAAGGGTGGCAATACCGTGACCCCCCCTACAATAGGCTTGCGACCCCCTTTTGGGTCGGGACTCCCCAGTATGAGAAACGCTGCTCTAAAATGAGATATACTTTTACACCATTATTCCTAATTAATGACAAAATTATTTAGGCTTGGGGGAATGTCTGTAACACAAGATTTAAACATGTCCTTGCCGTGAGATCCATTGGAAGGGGAAAGTGTCCCAATGCAAATTGGTGATGATCACTTAAATTAATTAAAAGTGAACTGGGAAGAGCCCTAGAGAATAATCCTGTATTGCTAGAGAGGAGTGGGCTAGATAATCTAACAGGTCATTTTCCTCCCTTCTTTCTGGAGCGCTGTGGTTACAGCACTGTGAGGTGGGGAAGTAAGGAGTAGTATCCCCATTTCCCAGATGAAGCTCTGAGGCAAGAAGTGACTAAATCAAGGCTACACACACAGTCAGTGTCAGAGCAAGGAACAGAACACAATTATCCTGATTCCCAGTCCCGTGCCCTAGTCATTAGTTCACACGATACCTGGGATTACATAATGAAGTTGATGTGTTTTTTCTCCTGACACTGTATAAACACTGCTGCCATGTTATAATGCACTTGATACTCAATGATAGGGAAGGGAGCAGATATCAGTGGCTCTGTTAATGCAGCTAAGTCTGAGGCAGAATAGTAATATAGTGTGGGGGAGTTAGTGTTCATTGACAATAGGCATCTCGCTAGTTACATGTTTTATTTAGGATTTCACTGAAACCAGGTCTCTAGATTCACTGGTTGATCCTCTCTGGAGTTTTCAGCGTCAGATGAAGTCCCAGAGGACTGATTATGGGCTGTAGAGATTTTCATGCCTAACTCACTGGGTTGAGTCCACCCAGGTGGGCAGGAATGGCCAAACATTGTTACCACCTGATGGCTGGCTGGTGGGCTACCTTGTCCGTCCCTGCCCAGTTAACGTCCACACCAGGAAACTACCATGCAACTGGCCCTTTGCTGACAATCTCAAAAGACACCAAATAAACCATGGAGATTAAACTCCTCTCTCGTTCTTTAACATGGTCCCTCTTGATTAGAATGAGGTTTCTCGGCAGAAGAACCCTCACATTACCTCTGCCCCTGCTGGGTGTGTGATCTATGACTAAACACTATAGACCAAATCACCAAAGCCATCAGCCCAGCACCTGTTAGCAGCACTGAAGTCACTTTGTCAGCTAAGGATAAAGTCTCTAGGTAGGGCTGGTGTTTGGATGGCCAGTACTGGGAAGCTTTCTGCAAGGGAGAGCGCTCTGGCAAAAAAACCCAAATTGAAGACCCTTGAATTTAGGGGGAATTTAGACCCAGAGCCAAACTGTGCCTTTGAAAGCCCAGTAATGAACATGTCTTTGCCTGGGGAATGCTGCAGCAGGGGATCCTCTGCCTTCTGCATGTCTGTGCACCATGCAAATTGCAGGGAAAGTGAAGAGTTTTACTAGACATGCAACTGATTTGAACGCCCTTAACTGTCTACCAGCTAAATGTGGCTGATGAACGGACATTGCTGGCTGCAGTTGTCCCCTCTGCACGCTGTGGGGGATGGGAGATATTCTCCAGAGCAGGGCACATGGCAAATTTGTCTCAGGCATTTAAAAGGGCACAGAATTTAACATGCATATTTGGGTTCTTTGGCTGCTTTAATCCAAGGTTACTGGTGCATTTGTGCTTGTGTTTTCATTCAAAATGGAGGCTTCCACACCAGAACCCCCTTCTCAAACTAACCCCACCCCTGCAGCTGCTGCTGCTTCCCTCTGACGCTAGTCAATGCCTTATAGGAAATTCCCTGAGTCGAGAAGATTAGAAATAGCTGGGGCAAAAGCAAATCTTGCTTTAGTTTGTCTCAATTCAACATGGTCCCCTGACTGGTAAATATCCAGGGCTGCCCTTCTCACACGGAGGCACTGGACTTTTGGACTTTAAAGTTTGTGGAAAGACTTTGGTTTGTTCCAATTGGCTTGATTTGTTCTGTGGATTTATCATCCATGTGAATTGCCTGCACAAATGGTTTCTAAAGAAGTCCTTTAGACATGTTTAGAAACACTCAGTCTCCTTGAAGAACCCCCTCTGGTGTAACTTTGGTTGTATTGTACATTCCAAGTAAATCTGATTAATATTTTCCACCGAAATGACCTCTCATGCCAGTGTAGCCCAAAGAAAGTGAATCAACAACATGCCCCAGGAGTCACTGATGTCTTTGGAGGGGAAAGAAGTGGTACTTCAGGAAAATACAATAGCTGAAACTGGAAAGCCACAGCCATGATTAATTCGAATTTAAAAACAGATTTTACTTAGAGGATGACTTCAACCAATGGAAACCATGCAATTCTGAGCTAGGGCTGATACTCGGTGCACACTTCCCTCTGCCTGCATGATGGAGAAGCAGTCTTAATTTTCAGTACCTTATTGTTAGCAGAACCTGTGTGTTGTACCCCACGGCATAATCACTGAGTATCTTTTTGTAGTTGCTATTGTTAAAAATTTTTAATTCCTTTGTTTAACAATGTACAGAACATAAAGGATAATGTTCTCTCCGGTTGGTATGATTTTGGCTGTAAGTCTGGTTCAGATCTAATACCATAGCAATGGAGTTGTTCTGGCATCTATTCGTATTACAACGCTACCCAAGGGCCAGGCCATAGTAGGTGTCTCTCAGAGATATTTGCCGTAGTGTTCTAACTCCTCCATTATCCTTCTGTGCAAAGGAAACCTTCAATTTTACCACCACATATATCCTTGTTCCACACAGACTTACTTTTTATATGTAATGAGAAAACTCCACTGCTATCAGCATTCTAAAACAGCATGGTTCTGAGACCTCACGGAGGCTTGGCTCTCCACTGCCCTGCTCCATCGTTTGTAACAGTGCCAGGTGAGTGCACAATGAATACGAAATGCTACCATTCTGATCCGGTGACATTCTACACCCATTGTGCACTGGTGTAAGCGACTGTGCAAGGTGGAAGGCCACAGGGGGAAGGCCACATTCAATTCCCATTACCCAACAGCCTTCAGGCATGCCCTGAGAGGAAAAGGCCCATGCACAAACAGACTGTATGCCCTAGGCATATCAGCACCACTGGGGCAACTAGTAAGAGATAATTGGGCAGCCACATTTCTGAAAAGGGAGTGCTGTCTGTTTAGTGGTTAGAACAAAGGATTGGGGTCTGGACTCCTGGGTTCTATTTCCAGCTCTCCCACTGACCCGCTGTGTGGCCTTGATGTCATGTGAATCTCTTTGTACCTCCCTCTTCCCATCTGTAAATGGGAACAATGATGCTCACCTGAACCAGCGGTGGTTGAGAGAATGAATTAACATTGGCAAAGTGCTTTGAGATCCTCAGGTGATAATTAATGACTATTATAATTAATCATATGCTATTCAATTCATATCTGGAACATGGAGCTTGTATGAATTGACAAAAGATACTAAGCTTCACTAAAGCACACTGGAGTCTCAAATTCTCTGTTAGAAGCAATTTGCCTGTCAGTGTGCTTCGCTACCATGAACTGCAGGGCCTTTTTCATGTTTTTTCTAGCTGTCTCCTCAGCCCGAGGTAATGCTGTTCCTTGGCTTGCTGTTCTCAGGTTTTACTCATGCACGGCCACCTCCTAAGACAGGCACAATACGTACTGTACTTTATGGATCCTGTGCTGTGTCCAGTTTATAACAATTGTCAAACAGGTCAGCCATGCAGTATCATAAGGGAGTAGATGATGTTCCTCTTTCAGGCACTGAGCACTGGCTAACCCATGATGCCTCCTACAGAGGAGGAATTATTCCTCTTGTGATGGGAGAACAGAAGAAATTAAAGTAGCCCCAATTATTCAGAAAACAGCCACCACGGTGATGAATCCACAAATGAGATTAGATAGGTGAAATGGGAAGATGGACTGGTACATAGAGAAGCAGAAAGAGAAGGAATCTCCGGGAGTTTTGTGATGGGAGAGCAAACTAAATTAAAGTAACTCCCCCCTTCCTTAGGTCTGGCAGCTAAATTCCACCTCTGAGTATACATGTGAATCCACTGAAGTCTACTATTGTAGCTCTGGCATGACACAACTTCCCTCTGTCACCATGTAGGTGACATGGCACCGGGCATCTATCTATCCACAGCACAGGATTTTTATCTGAGTCTTTGTTGCTATTTTTCTCCACCAGTGCTATAACTTTGGATCAAAGACGCATTGGATCAAAGTATCCAAGATGTTTAATGTCATATAACTACTCTAGGGAGCAAAGCAGCCACAAATCATCCTCCAGATGCCATACTGAGAAATCCAGAGAGAGACTGTGCTAAATAAATCTCACACACACACACACACACACACACACACACACACACACACACACACACACACACAACACACACACA